GGGGGGGGGGGGGGAGGGTGGGGGGGTAAGGAACGGAGGAAAAAAATCAGGTTGGGGAGATAGGTTTATTTTCCGGTAAATCATGAATGCCAGCTTTATCTGGATGAAACAAGCCAGAGATTAATTTTAGACCTGCAAGAGGATGGTGAATATCAAACATTTCTGTGAGGTTTGGATAAACCTCATTTGTTTGGATTCTTATCTGTTTTGTGTGCCAAAATTATCTTTTCTCCACAAGCAGAAATGTTCCCAGACCCCAGTACCTCTCTACCAAACCTAAGCATTAGACCTAGAGACCACTGACCTTCCACACCATCTCTCTCTTCTCCACAAGGCTTCCCTATCAACCCAGACATGTGAGCTCTCCGAAGCTTCCTGTTTTCCACGGCTGCACTTTCTCACGTCTACGGTATTTTCTGAAGCATACTCTGCCACAGCTGGTGTAGTTTCTACTTGGGAAGATATTTTTTTCCTGTTCCGCCGCTGGATCACCAGAAAAGTTCTTCAAAGACACCTTAACCTGCGTGGAGAACTCTGGGAATTCTACTGTGGTCAGTCCGTCTTTCAAACACAGCTATCAAAGCAAGAGGGTCAATCTACTGTGTGCAGTAAGTGTTTGATATTCCAGAAGAAATAAATGATTTCAAATTGCTCCACAACTCCCTTGTCCAGCAACAGAAAAAAAACGTAGCACAGAGGGAAGGAAAAACAAACTCTTCCTTGTCTGTCCCATGCCTTGGCTTGCAGGTAGGTTAATCCCGAAAGCACACTTCACTGCTATGTTTCTGTTTTTATGGGCAATGTTTCTTCTATTGGTCAAATACTTCCCTCTCCTTTTTCAACTTTTATGAAAAATATTTTTTCAATGTGAGTGAGACAAATGCTTGCAGAAGTCGTCTCCTTAGGGAAGTAATGTTTTGGTTTTCTTCTACTCTCTGCAAAGCTTCCATTTCAGAAGAAGGGACTTAATTTGACGCTGGTGACTGGTAGGTTCATGGGTCCACATGCACACAGTGGGATTTACTAAACACTGACACCTTTGCCTACCAATAGATATTTTAAGATTGGGCCCTTGGTAGCAGGTGATGGCAGGAATGAGGAATCCCTGAGATCGGTTTACAAAGGCTGGATCCCTCTGGCCTAGCTTTTGTTGGGTGGAAAACAGGCCTTTCCTCAAAGATGAGCTCCCAAATCATCCATGGAAAAAAAAAGAGACACTTCCTGGGGGTGACTCTTCCTGTTCCAAGGTCTGATCAAAGGCTGATGGAGACCCTGGGCTGCTTCCAGAAAAACCCCAGTCCCTGGAGACAGGGGCATGCTCCTGGATAAACCCTGACCAGTGGAGTCTTGGGGGCACTTTTCAAAAAACCCTCGTCAATGGAGATGACTCCAGGTTGTGATTTTCACCTTTCGCTGCTGAGGCTGCTATTTCTATCTCTAGGTGTATGCATCTGTTTCAGCTAACTGATCCCTGCCTTCCTGTCTGGCTCTTCCTCCGTGTGTTTACTCGAGTGTGAGATATACTGTCTAAACCCCAGACTGCGTGCTTCCTAGAGCAGGGAGCTCTGCTTGTGTTATTTGTTTGTGTGGTGCCTAGTATAATGATGCGCTGATCCTTGTATGGGGTAGCTGCACACTAAAGCAAGGATAATCCTCCCCTTCCACTGCCACATACAATGGCTGGCACCGTGACAACAGGGTAATCAGTGTATCAAGTTTTGTAATAAAAAGCAAATAAAAGAACAGGGGTCAGCAAGGACATAGTAGGTGGTGCTCTGGGTGAGCAGCAAGGATGTTGGGGCACAGAGCTCCAGAGGGAAATGATGGGCAGCCCTATCCCCCTGTTCCCTCCCCTCTGCCATCCTGCCTCGGCCCCTGCCACTACCTCTCTTCAGTTAGACTCCTGAGTTGGCGGACAAGGAGGGGAAGGAAAGGTGGCATCTCACCAGGGAAAGAAGATCCAAAGAGATCATGGCGTCTTCTGCTTTTTGCTCTATTGAGCTGAGAGCTGGGCCTGGCACAGTGCTGTGGGCAGCCAGGGAAGATGCAGTCACCACCAATGCATGGGGGCTATGTGTTGCCACAGTGCTGGAAAGGTATGTTGAATCTCAGGATCGGGGTAGTAATAGATGCCTCTGGCATTGCGAGATGTTTGACTCTCTCCTTGGCAACCTGACTTCTACGTTCCTTCTTCTTTCCTCGCCTTTTCCTATTCCTCCCAAACAGCAAATGGTTGCTTAAGCACTGGCTGGAGCCTCCTCCTGCTGCAGGTGGCCATGGGTGTGGAAAGAGGAACGTTCAATCCAAGCAGACCGCAGATGTGATGCCCACCTGCCCTTGTGCTTCCTTTTGCCCACATGTGAGTAACTGTGTCTGGGTGCTATGATTTTCCTTATGGCAGCTAGATGTCTGCAGATGTATTTTGGATGGAAGTCCAGGTGCAATTAAGTATAGAGAAGCCTGCTTTATATTGGCTGACAGAGAGAAAGGAGATCGTAAGCCCAGAAACCAGGGGCAAGGATAATGTGCCATTTAGTCAGGGCAGAAAATGGAGCATTCAGACATCGGCTCTGAGTTTTTACGTACTGGGTTCACACTTGCATCTTGCAATGCCATGAAACCCCAGAACACGGGTTGTGTCACTGGGGCGATGCATTTCAGATATAACCCAATGGTAAAGGTTCTGTGGTGAAAACAGGTGAATATGATTGAATGCGATGGTGAAAAGGGAAAGAAAAATTACTAGTAAATGATTCTGGTAGAGTGTGTTCACACCAGAAAGCTCCAGCATTTCATCACAGGCTGGGAGGCATTTTAAGATAGTGGGTCAGCTTGTCATGAGGTTTCTTGCTGGTCTGTGCCTCTGAGGACAGTGGTGTCCTGGTGCCTGATGAAAGCTCCTACGCAGAATTGCACTGTAAGTCTAGAAGCCCACCTGTGAACTCATGTGATCTAGGGAAGAATCAGCAGCTGCAGAAACATCGTGTGAGATGAGTGTCTCTGTCAGTGAATGGCCCTTTTTAGTGACTAGCCCCAGCAAGCAAAATTTCTTGCTGTTTAACCACAACTGGCATTCCCAGCTCGAACAGCCTGAGCTTGTCCTGCTGTTGCCAAAGGCCTGGGGTTCAATCCCTGTTACTTCATGGGTCCAATTACAGAAAGAGAGACTGTGCTGTGGAAGCCAAAGCATACTTTGGCCCTTTGCTATGGTGAGGGCTCACAGGGTTCAGCCTGTGCCTCATGCTGCAGCAGATATATCTTCCAGTGAACCAGCTATGGAGAGATCCCATTATGTAGGTGACAATTTGAGAAGAGGTCTCAGAGGAACAGACAATGACATTGTTCTGTCCCAGCCTGCCTGGGAGCCCCTCTAGTGCACAGGTACCGTATATAACATATTGGAGGTTAATTCAATTTTCATGTACATTTTGGAAGAGCTGAATGTGGCCTTTGTTTAACGCTTTGGCTCACAAGGACTTTTTCATAAGGAATTCTCTTTAAATGGAATTGAAAACTTTCTGATAGTTAACAAACACCACAAGACAATGGCAGGCTATATCTGTTCATCATCAGCAGCCATTCATTTATCCTAGGGAAAGAATTTCTTGGTGATAATCCTGAGTGAAGGCTTGCTTGTTCGCATGACTGGACAAGATCCAGCATCGATAGCACCTTGTTGAAACCTTTGGAGTGTCAGGCTAAACTCACAGCAGAGACATAATGAAACTGGGGAAGTGGTAACGAATAACGCAGTTGCAACTGCACCATAAGCATCTTCCCACATGAGGAGACTGAGAAGAAGAGCAGACAGGGAAAACAGAGATGTGAATCCAGCAAGGGGTACAGCAAAGACCAAAACGCTTAGCTTTTGAAGGGAGGAATGGGACTTCATCAGAAGGAAGGATGGAAAGCAGTGAGCCAGTGGAGAGCTTTGATAGTAAGGGAGTGGGATGCAGGGTGGCAGCACCATGCAAAACTTGGGGCAGAAGGACCCTTACAAGCCGTCTAGTCCCCCTGGCCGCGGCTTGGCTTAAGCTGCCTTTACAGGTGTGTGTCTCTCCTGTCCTTAAACATGCTCCATGGCCTTCCTGGGCAGCCTGTACCATGCCTCACCCCCACAGCATTAGAAAGCTTTCCCCAGTGTCTAACCTGACTCTCCCTTGCTGTACTTAAGCTCATTCACTCTTATCCTGCTTCTGGAGATGTGACAAACAGTTCATTAAGGCATGCTTTTCCCCACATACAAACCAATGGCCGCAGCCACCCTCAGGAGAGAGGAGGGCAGCTCTGCGCAGCCATCTCGGTGCCAGAAGGAGCCGAGGTTTCAGGTGAAAGTCTGCCTAAAAGAATGGACTGAGAAAGGGAGATTTTGTTTTTAATGCTATTGGATGTGTTCCAGGCCTGTGTAGAAATAAAAAGGCTTAGATCCTGAAGGAATTAATGCATCAGTCAACTCCAACAAAGCCGTCTAGGGAAGTGATAAGAAGGCATAGTAAATATTTTACCAAGGGCTAGGCAGGAATATCTGAACTGCTCTGGGCCAAATTAGTGGCTGAGCTCCTATCACAAGCATCCAGCAAAGTACCACTCCGAAGAAGACAACCTGGTGTAACCCCAAGTGGGTGTCAGTGCTGCTGTGGCAAGTGTCCACTGTGCCGCGGGCAAGGAGCTGGAGATGTTCCATCACTGCTTTTGCTTTTCCTGACTGGTGTCACAGTGAATAGCATCCTCCTTCCCCGTGTTGGCTCGAATGTCCAAAAGAGCTCACGTCCTCCTGTTGACTGTTAAGTGGTTTTGAAAATGTGAGCGCTTTGTCACCTCTCAATGGGAACCGGGACCTCTGAGTCTCTGTTTGGGAAGCTGGCTAGAGCACTATGGGGCTGAAATGTCGTACCTCTTGCTTTCAGGCACGGGTAGGGGATTGGACCGGCTAGGAAGAGGGGGAACTAGACAAGCCTGTCGTGTATAATCGAGGGCATGGGGGGCATGGGGCATGGGATCAACTGATAATTAATTAAAATTAGAATAATTAGTTGCCTAAGTGACTGCAACAGGATGGTTTCCAAACAACTCAGTCTTCACAAAAGGAAACTGGGCCTTGTTGATCTGCCAGAACTCCTTGAAATGAGGCAGCAAACTGGTAGCTAAACTGATAAAAATGGTTCAGTGAGGGACTGTTAAAGCTTTTGACAAAGTCCCTCACAAAAAGCTAGGAAGAAAAAGTAAGTGTCCAAGGACTTAGGTGAACGACTGCTTTTAGATCAGACCTGGAGCTACGGGCATGTCTGCAATGTATTTTGCAGCCAGATAGCTGTATGTTGCTTGAACTCTGAAATGATCAGAAGCCATAGGATACCACTGACCCTGCAGTAACCTGAGATTGGGTTTTTCAAGGTGCTAACTCCACTGATGCAGCTTCCATTCATCTCTGAACATGGACAGGTCTTGCTCATGCTTGTTCAGTGCATGGGCAGACTGTAAAATAGTGGACAGACATAGCCCGAAAGGAAACTAAATTAATAGATATAAACAAGGTCTACTGGGCTTCTTGTTGAATCAGAAACAAGGAAAAGGGCATATTCAAGGAATCTGAAAAACAAAACTAAAAAACATGTATTGTGGAGAAGAGAAAGTCAGTACCCAGTTACTTGTGGTGATGAGTTCCACAGATTGCCCCTCGTTGAGCAGGGTGAGTTATTGGACGCTAGTGTAAGTAATGAGAGCATCTGAAGATACCATAGCAATGCTTAAAACTGAAAAAGTGAGAAAACTGTTGGAAGGGACATAAGGACTTGTTTCAGGGCCTGAGATTGCACTGGAGATTAAAAGGCAGATATCTCACTGCTGCCCACAGCTGGAGTTAGTGCACCATCCCTGGAGGCAGGAAGCACGTTGGTACTTGGGGAACTTGATCCGTATTTGGAGTCAAATGGAGTTTGACACTGGATATGGCTCCCCGCATTCGTCTTGTATAAGGTAGTCAGGTCCCCCAGCTCGGTGAATCCCCAAATGCAGCTGCCCATGGTGATGTGAACTCTCCCTGGCTCTGTCTGGCGTCGATGCTGGCAGAGGAACTTCAGGGCGCGTGGCCACTTGGACTGACTCACTCTGAGCTGGCCCAGGGAAGGCACAACCCAGGGCCACGGCTGTGGTGGGGAGAGGGGAAAACATCAAAAAGGCAATTCACCTAGCCGCTGCCTCTGCCCTACCTGTTTGAGGGCTTGAATTTAACTCTTGGGTTAGCCAGAGCTGCCAACATGGCACCTTCTGCCAGCACAAAATGACCTTTAAAGTGGGAAAGGAAATGATTACATAACACAAACAAACAAAAATTGGTTGACCAGGAATTCAGGGATCGCAATATAACTGCACACAAAACTGATTTTTGCCTCAACCACCAATTTACCTTGTCTTGAGGGCACTGTAATATGTTAAGAGGCATCCAGTGGCCACAGACTTCAGCCACTTGCAGCCAGGGCCCCGTGTGTGGCGCCAGCAGTTGCTCCTCCTCGAGCCCTTGCCAGCTCCCGGAGGCAGTGCCCTTCAGCTCTGCCGCCAAGCCCCAGACGTGGCCTCGGCAGCGCTCAAGCTGGGCCTCCCCACCCCGCTGCCTCTCCCCCTGCTGAAGGCCTTGTGGATACACCTGGTGACCAGCTCTGGGGCTCCTGGTGGCAATCTGGCTCACCAGAGCTTATGGACACGTGGAAGTGGGGATGCAGAGCAGGAGACAAACACCCATGGGAGAAGTAGCTTTTTGCAGGGGAAGGAGGAGGGAGAGGCCTATTTCATAAGAGCCCCCAAAAGGAAGGATGGTGGTACGCATGGGGAAAGTGCCAGTCCTTGCCTTTTGCAGGGGCAGGATGCATCTTCCTCGCACTGATCATCTGCCTGCCCCTCAGCGGGGACTTAGCAACCACATCTTCTGCAGCTCCAGCCAGGAGAAAAAGACATTTGGAGAGAGAAGAATAATTTGGATTAATCAAGGGAAAATGCAGCCCCATCCCTAGCGCCTTTCCCCACAGTCCCTTCCCTGTCCTGACCCAGTGGTGGGGTGTAGGACGCCTAAACCATCCCCACTGTGATGTACCCACCCATTTATACATAGACCTTGTGGGACACAGCTGTTCTGCCCCCACTAGTTGCAGCCCCAGGGAACGGCTTTGATTTATCCCTCAGCATCCCTCTGGCTGACGCTGTAGAGCGAGAGAGACCCAGTATCCGCAAGGCATGGTCCTTGCAAAGCACAGCAGGAAGCAGGAGATGAGAACAGTCAGGAAGAGTAATATATTTGGCTCCTCCAACTCATTGCCCCACTCCTGGAGGCAATGCTTTGTCATGGCTACACTGCACATTAAACAG